AATTTTCTCGTCAAACACTAGCAGAAGCTAGTTATGTGTGGAACACATGCAATTAGGCCGCCACGACTGTATATGCATACACCAGCATCAGAAAGCGAGAACTTGTCCCTATTAAAGAATATTACAGGGGTAATGTGTTACCTATATTGGGCTATCACTCAAATCATCGAGTTTGTCAGGTTCTGGGGATATTTCTTATGATAGGATTCTTTTGATGTATTCTAGGGATGAGGCAGGATTTCTGGCAAAAAAAGACGGCAGGAATTTGGAAAAAGACAAATCAATAGAAACAATTGGAAAAGTCTCTACAGTGTCTATCATTTGTGGCATGACTATCAAAGGCCAAAATACAATTATTACTCATTTACTTACTTTTAGTTTACTCATTACTCACGCAATCATCCATTCAGAACATTGACTATGCCGAAGATGCGTGTGCTTGCGTTCCAAATCACTTCCCAAACAAAAGTGCATTATACTGGGAGGCTTTAGAAACCTTGAATCTGAATAAATAACTCAGGTTGCATGAATTTTCCATTTTCATTTCAGAAATTATAAGACTGTCTCGAAACCAGACTTTATATAGTTTATACAAGCCTCTTCTCTCCAGAATCCATTGGCTCCTTATTTTTGATTACTGTGAGAGGTGCACGTAATTTCAGTCGCCTTATTAGTCATTACCCTGATCAGGTTTTCAGCAGTGAAATGGAGTCCCTTACATAACCGCCAATGTAAAAAATTGCGCGTCAACTTTCTTATAATCAGAGTCCTGGCCTTGATCTTTGTAAGTTTGGCGAATCCAGATGCCATTCCCTCAGACGTTATGAGTCGTCTCCTACAATCTGTCAAAAGGGCCAAGTCATCCACCTCGTTTTCGAAACATGCGCGATGACGAGGGGGCGGCACGCCCTCGCTCCGTCGGCCCGAACCAGCTCCTCCCGGGGGTGTGGCCCGAGATCGCAATCCTATAAAAGCGTCCCGTTAAGGCCATCCAACAGTGAACCATGTTCGAGGAGAAGCTCATTGTAGGTGTGGCGTCAGCCTGCTCGACTCTGGCCATTGTTGCCTGCCTTGTCGTTGTCCCATCTCTCTACAATACCATCAACGAAGTTCACGATGAGGTCCTCGATGGTGTGTCGGTATTCCGTGTTGAAACCGATTCCGCCTGGACTGAAATGATGGACATTCAAATCACTGTCACGCCACCATCAAAGCCTCGTCAGAATCCCTTCAATTCAATCTTCCGTCAGAAGAGGCAGGACTTCTCCGGTCTACCAGCCTGGTGCCAATGCGAGCCCACTAAGCCTGTGTGCCCACCTGGTCCTCCTGGACCACCTGGAGAGCCTGGACAGCCTGGTGAGTACTTCCTCAAG